GCTGTCAGCCTCAGGTTGCTGGAGTTCGAACCTTACAACTCTCCCGCTGGCCAAAAGTACCCTGAAGGCATTCGAGGAACAAAAAAAAAAAAAAAAAAAAGATTGACACCAAGCGGAGTGGGATCTATCCTGGCAACACTGGGCTGGTTTATCAGTCAAAGATCATGTCATTTCCCACATTAGTGGAACAAAACACAAAGAGCACACAGTCATCTTGAGAGGTACAGCGAAGCACTGGGCAGAATCCAACCTTTGTCTCGGTGACAAGACCACATCCATGAGGAAAAGAGAAACACTTCAGCCTGATGAAGGTCATCTATGCAAAACCCGCAGCTTTCGTTATATTTAATGTAAATGCTGCCCCTGTAAGACCAGAAACAGGCAAAGGATGTCCATTCCTATCACCCTATTCCACGCTGGACTGAGCGTTCTAACCAGGACAGTTAGGCAAGAAAATCAGAAAGACGATAAAGCTGTCTTTAACTGCAGATACATACATATAGACTAAGGAGTCTACTATTTACAAAAGGGCTGGGAGTGTAGCTCAGTGGTAGAGTATTTGCCTCCCATTTATAAGGCCCTGGGTTCAATTCCCAGCACTGCGAAATCACAAAATCAAATAATAAATGAGTTCATTAGGGTTACATGATACCAGATCAGTGTACAAAAATCAGTTGTATTTCTGTACACTTGAACAATATACAAATAAAACTTAAAGAATTGTTCTACTTACATAAAAAATAATAATGATCCTAGCACTCTAGCAGTGGGTCACAAATTTGAGCCCAGACTGGGCGCTTTAACATTTTGACAAGAATCTGTATGAAAAGGAAAAATAAAATTTGTCAGGGATGTAGTTCAGAGGAACAACAAAATCATTTATATTCCTGGGCTGGGCTGACTCGTTGGTACAATGCTTGCCTGGTGTGTGTACGGCCCTGTGATTCCTAGTACTGAACAAAGTCCCACACACCCTTGTGTGTGGCTTGCAGCACCATTTTTTTTTTAATTATTTATTTATTTATTTTGTGTGTGTGTGTGGCCAGTTCAGCCCACCAGGGGGCGGGGCTGGCTGGCATGTGGTGCTGGGGATTGAACCGTGGTCCCTGCGCTTTTGCTTAGCTTAGCTTGTCCTTGTTCTAAGTAGGTGCTTTAGACCACTGAGCCATCTCACCAGCCCCCCATTTTTTTTTTTTGGAACTGGGGATTGAACTCAGGCCTTTGCCCTTGCCAGGCAAGTGCTTATTCTACTGAGCTATCTCCCAAGCCCCAGTGCCATTTTTCATAATAGCCCCAAAACAGAAACATGCATGAATAGGAATGAAGGATGCACAGCTACCGAGTGGAATATTACTTGGTGGTAAGAAGGAATGGCGTGCTGGTGGGGGTGGACCTTGAACACATTATACTAAATGCAAGAAGCCAGGCGCAAAAGACTGCACACTGTGTGCGCCCGTGTATATGAGCTGCCCAGAATAGGCAGCTCTATCGAGGCGGAGAGATTAGGTTGTCTAGGGCTGAGGTTGGGGAGAAATAGGAAAGGACTGCTAGTGGGAGTGGAATTTCTTTTCTAAAATTGCTTGTGGGGGCCGGGGATATGGCTCAGTAGAATGAGCGCTTGCCTGGCAAGCGCAAGGGCCTGAGTTCAATCCCCGGTTCCGCAAAATAAATAAATAAATAAATAAATAAAAATAGCTTGTGGTTGGGGGCCAGGGAGATGGCTCAGTGGAATAAGCGCTTCCCTGGCAAGCACAAGGGCCTGAATTCAATCCCCGGTTCTGCTAAATAAATAAATAAATAAAATTGCTTGTGGTGATGGGCGCATAATTTTGGAAATACCAGAGCCACTGAACTTTACACTTTACACAGGTAGGCTGTACGGGACATGAGAATTATATGTCAGGGCGGAGGAATAGCTGAGCTGCTCTTGGCTGGGACTACAGGAAGCAGTGCCTCAAGGGTGACCTGACATCCTCCCAGGCCACACCCCCAGCGCCCCGCCTCTTCTGACCAGGCCCCGCCTCCAGCAAGCCCGCTATTAACCCCTGTGATCCAGTCACCTTGTGACAGCCCCGCCTCTGAGTGCATGAGGGTTGTGGGGAGGAGCAGCTAGCCAGAAACCGTAATAGCTTTCTTTTCTTTTTGTTTTGCTTGCAGGTTTAAAAATGTTTTTATTGATACGTGTTTGTAGTACGTAATGAGTACATCCATGGTGAGCCGCTGGTACCTGTACGTGACACATCTTGATCGTTTTTACTTCTTTCCCCTCCTTCCTCTCTCGGACCCCTTCCTCAGCTTCGGGCAGCAGAGGTGGAGATCAAAGACTTGCAGTCCGAGTTCGAGCTGGAGAAGATTGATTACCTGGCCACCATCCGGCGGCAGGAGCGCGACTCCATGCTCCTCCAGCAGCTCCTGGAGCAGGTGCAGCCCCTGATCCGCAGGGACTGCAACTACAGCAACCTAGAGAAGATCAGGCGCGAGTCGAGCTGGGACGAGGACAGCTGCTCCTGGAGGATCCCCGAGCCCGTTATTGTAAAAACCAGCCTCCCAGTAGGTCAGGAGCTCCACTGCCCCTTGCCTCCCATGTATCCTTCCCAGTTGCCAGAGGGACGGGGGCCTGGCCACTCCCTTGCATGCTGTGGGCAGATGAGTATGACCTGGGCATCTGACATCCTGGGGGCCCTAAGAAATGCTGTGCTTTGCAAGCAAACAGATGTAGGCTGGGGTCTCGGCTGCACCATTCTGTGACCTCCTTGGGGCTTGGTGTCCTCATCTGTCGCAGAGATGAGTAACAGCACCCAAGTGTCTGTGAGGCTTACAGCGTTCTCAGACACCAAATACCTTAGTGCTGCCTGGTGCTCAGCAAGTGTTTCAGTGTCACTGTCAATGGTCATCGTGCTTCCTGCCTACGGCAGCTCTGTGTAGGCTAGCGATGACGACACCTGGTTAGTGACACATGAGGAAATTGGATCACCTGGGGTCAGTCACAGCAGTGAATTGTAGGACCATGCATCAAAACCAGCTGTCCAGGGTTTAGAACTCCTCTGCTTTAGCTGCTGACCTTGTATGACTTTAGGATGATCACTGTCCCTCTCTGGACTTGTGACAAAGGAAGGGTTGGATAAGATGACCCTAAAGACTCATCTCCCTCTGCTGAATCTCAGACTAAAGTCAGATTTGCCGTGGAGCAGCCTTTAGCCACAGACCTGGCCACGCATGCAGGAAGTGACATGCTCTGCCGTCCTTCCAGGCCCCAGAAGTCCTCCCATCTGTGTTCACCCAGGCCCTGCATCTCTGACATTTTTAGTGGCCACTGACACCGCCCGCCATCCTGTTGAAACTCCAGCCAGCTCTGTTTCCTGAGCTCCAGGCAGTGGTGTCCTCTCTTTTGCCCCAACCCCAGCTGTCCTGCCTGGGAGGGGCAGAGGTGGAGCTGAAGGTGGCTTCTTGGAGCCCTCCTGTTGTCCGTCTCCCAAGGCTATCCCTTGGTTGGGCTGGGAAGTGTCCTCCCTCTGTGGTGCCTCCTGTCCTGTACTTCAGCGTCTCTTTTCTGATAGCAGTTCCCACTGGGCCACAGACCAAGCTAGCCCGAAAAACCTCTGCCATCGACAGCAGAGAGCCAAACATGGTAAGGCCCAGGGAGAGTGAGGACTGGGGAGCTGGGGGCTCTGTTCCCAAAGAACAGTGGGTCCATGTTGCCATAGGGAGCTGGGCTACTTTCATCTTGCCTGAGGGTGGCAGCAGGGGTGAGCTTGGATCTTGTTTTGTAGTTCGCCCTGGTCCCTGGGGCCACCACTCTCGTTCAAGGTGCTTCCAAAAGACCACAGGGAAGACAGATGGCTTAGGTGGCTTGTCTTGCTGGTGACAGAGACTTGCACCTCAAACCCAGAGGACAAATAGCACATTCTAGTTTCTTGGGTCCCAGCTGGTATCCTTGGACAAAAAAGGTCCCCAAGATCAGTTATTGAAATTCTAAAGTCCCTTAGAATTTTTATGTCTCCTACATTCTGTAATACATCAGAAATGTGTATGCTTAAAGCAGGGGTCAGAGAACCTTTTCTGAGTCTATGGCCGTACCACCCTGAACGCGCCCGATCTCGTCTGATCTTGGAAGCTAAGCAGGGTCGGGCCTGGTTAGTACTTGGATGGGAGAAAACCTTTTCTGAGAAGGACCCAGTAGTAAATACTGAGGCCATATGGTCTCCACCAGACCACTCAACCTCTGCTGTTGTAGTACAAGACCAGGAGTAGAGAATATGTAGATGAGCAGCATGCTTCAATAAAGCTTCATTTGGGGCTGGGGTGATAGCTCAGTGGCTTAAGTGCTTGCCTGGCAAGCACAAGGTCCAGAGTTCAATCCCCAGTACTGAAAAAATCAAGCAAGCAAGTCTTCTGCCACAGCAGCCACTGAAGAACAGTAACCGTAGCCCTCTGCTATCTCATGGCCGTGGGCCTCAACAAGGGCCATAAGGTGACTAAGAATGTCAACAAACTTAGGCACAGCTGCTGTCACGGACACCTCACCAAACACCAAGTTCGTGCAGGACATGATCCGGGAGGTGTGTGGCTTAGCCCCCTACAAGCAGTGTGCTGTGGAGCTGCTCAAGGTCTACAAACATGCCCTCAAGTTCATCAAGAAGAGGGTGGGGACACACATCTGCGCCAAGAGGAAGCATGAGGAGCTAAGCAACGTGCTGGCCACCATGAGGAAGGCAGCTGCCAAGAAGGACTGAGCCCCTCTGGAATAAAGCTTTGCAAAAAGTTAAAAAAAAAAAAAAGCGAGCAAGCTTCATTTACAAAGTGGCATGTTCCAGTAAGACTGTTTTTTGTTGTTGCAGAACTGGGGATTGAACTCAGGCCCTTGCGCTTGCCAGGCAGGTGCTTATTCTACTGAGCCATCTCCCCAGCCCCCCAATAAGACTTTATTTACAAAACAAGCTGCAAGCCAGATTTGGCTCCTTCGTTGTAATTTTTGATTCCTGCCTCTCTGACCATCAGAAGCGTTTCAGAAGCCCCCACAGAGCTCGTAGCATAGCAGCATGCGAAGCCGCTCTCAGGTCAGGGCACTGCAGCTGGCGGCACTGCCTGGGCAGGGCGGGGTGGCTGCAGGTAGTGTCCCATGCCGCTGTGAAGCTGGACTGGCTGGTCTGATGGCTTCAGTTTATAAAAAAGAAAGATAGGGCTGCAAACAAGCAAGCAAACAAACAGATTGACCTGGGTCACAAAGGGGTATGTCAGGACATTTTTAGTTCCAAGGAATAGACACCAAGGTAAATAATGCTACCAAAGTAGGAGCTCACTGGTTCCCACCAGTGGCTGGATCTGGGGGTTCAGCCAGGCTTCTGTGCCCCCCTTGGTATGCTAACTTCAGGGCAGCTGGGATCCTAAAAGAAGACACACCCATTCCTTCAAAGCATCCTTACACCAAAGCCCGTGGAAGGTTCCTTTTTGGGCTACTTCTTAATGACTGCTGTGTTCAGGAAGATGCAGCTCTGTGACTGGTGCCTCTGGGTCACATGTCCACCCTGCAGTTCAGGGTGCATGAGCCATCTTCTCACCAGGACCGTGTCTGGACACAATCTGTCATAGCAGAGAAAAGCAACCAGCTCAGAAAGGCCAGGGCACCAGATGTAGTATCATAAAAGGCAGCTGTGAGCTGAGAGCTGGGTCCCTTCTGCTGTGAATGTGGCATGTGAGATTTGGGGCATTTGGCATCATCACCCATACCCCCTGGGACTCCTAGTCTTCAATTGCCTGGGGTGCTACCAGGGGTCCAGGCTCTGTAGCAGGGACTGCTGAAGCCTTGTGTCACAGCTTGGGGGAGGCCCAGTGCAGCCAGGGGCCCAGATTAGGGACTTTTCTCAAGGGGATCTGGAATCTCAGCAGGAAGAAGACCGCTACAAGCTGATGCTCAGTAGGAGTGACAGTGAAAGTATTGCCAGTAACTACTTCCGGTCCAAGCGGGCCAGCCAGATCTTCAGCACAGACCCCACGAAGAGCCTCGGTGAGTGCCCCGTGCCCCTGCGTTACTCACCCCCAGGCCCCGCCAACCGGGCAGGGTGGGCCCAGAAACCCCACTCCCTCTGTGAGCCACACTTTTCGCAGCTGTAAGATGAGGGGTGATACCCGCTTCTCAGGATTAGATAGGAACACCATCCAGAGCCTGGGGCATAGCAGGTCCTCAGTACATAGTCGCCTGTGTCCTCCCTCAGGAAGAGCTAGTGTTTCACTTGTCCTCCCCAGTGTACAAAAGCGCTCACTTGTGAGTCACATAAGTGGGTCTTACTAGCTCCCAGCTGCTGGCTTCCCCAGCGGCCAGTACGACAATGTTCCCCAAACTGGGTGAGATTTCATCTGCCAAGGTGGGGCAAGCCAGGAAGAGCCCTAGAAGCAAAAAACAAAAACAAACAAACAAAAAAAGTCCACATTCTAGGATTGAAAATAATTTAATTCTCTTGCTTTAAAAACTGAAGACAATAGCTTGGCTTGGTGACACAGGCCTGCAATCCCAGCACTTGGGACACTGAGGCAGAAGGCTGAGGCTGAGGCCCAAGGCCAGCCAGCCTGGGCTACATAGTGAGACCCTGTCTTCAAAAACCAAAAACCAAACCATAAAAATTAAGGGGGGCCTGGGAGATGGCTCAGTAGAGTAAGTGCTTCCCTGGCAAGCGCAAGGGTCTGAGTTCAATCCCCAATTCCGCAAAAAAAAAAAAAAAAAAAAAAAAAAAAAATTGAGAGCCAGGAAGATAGCTCAGCAGCATAAGTGCCTGCATGGCACGTGCAAGGTCCTGAGTTCGATCCCCAGTACCGCAAAATGAACAACCCACAAAAATTAAAGGAAAGCCAGGCATAGTGGTATTTGTCCATAATCCCAGCACTTGCAAGCCTGAGGCAGGAGGATTGCTGCAAGTTCAAGACCATCCTGGGCTACAAAGTGGTTTCAAGGCCAGACTGAACTGTATAGCAAAACCCTGTCTCTAAATAAATAAACAAAACACTAAAGGCAAAGCCCATAGAGCTTGTAAAATGTCAATAAAGAGCAAATCTTAGTGCTTTACTGAAGCTCTATGTAAGGGAGAGAGTAAATGGATTGAGTAAGGGAGTATTAGCTGAGTGCCTGGCAGGGTTCCTGTGTCATAGAGGAGGAAACTGAGGCTCGGAGAGCTGGACTGGCTTTGCCCAAAGTCCTACTGCCAGGGAGAGGGGGGCTGGGCTCTGAGCCGAGGTTTTCTGGCCTGAGGTCCCAGGCTGCTTCAACCCAAGCCTCAGCCCAGACTTCTGGGTCTGAAACCTCAACCAGAGCAGCCTTGAGAAGCCCCAGCTGCAGGGCCAGGGCTCCACCCTGCAATGTGGGGAGTTTGCTCTCTACCGCGGGGCCCCTATCTCACCAGCATCCTCTGTTGCCTTCTCCACAGCATCACCAGGTCTCAGCTCGCAGCTCAACAGCAACTCTGCCATCCTACCCACCCCAGCCCCCGAAATGCCCCAGCCTCGGCCCTTCCGCCTCGAGTCCCTCGACGTCCCCTTCACCAAGGCCAAGCGTAAGAAAAGCAAAAGCAACCTGGGCAGTGAATTGCTGTGACCGCAGCTGCCCACTGCTGCCTGCCCATAGGCTTCTAAACTGCCAGGCCCCCCAGCCAGACCTCTGCCCTCCTCTACCCAGAGCGACCCGGGCCCAGGAGGATCCTCATCCTTGGAAGATACATCCCTTCCTTGTTTCTCAGAGTCTACCTCTGCCCAAGCCTGAGCCCCCCAGAGGCCTGCTCCAGGTGTCCATGCCACATCAGTGTTTCTGTCCACTCTGGCCACAGAGCCTGCAACTTGCGCCGCAGTGCGTGAGGAACTCAGCAGCCTCAGGGCCTTTGTCAGCAGCCGGGGTGTTGTGGGCAGCAGCTGCCACACAGACGAAGCTCCACATCTTGACGACTGAGATTTGTGCTTCTGTGTAGGTGGCCCTTTCCAGAGGGCAGCCTGGCCCTGCAGGACAGGCGCAGGAGTCCCGGAGCAGCCAGTCTGCTCAGCCCACTCCTGGCTGGGTTGTGGCCCAGAGAAGGCTGCCGCACATTAAACTGCCCAATAAACTGCCTTTAGGAAGAGCTGCCCTTCTCAGTTCCTTAGACACCGGGGCCCCTTTCTGCTGTCATGGGGACACTTGCTGAATAGGGCTCTGTACTGTCTGGGGCTTTTGGGAGCAGCAGGCTGCAGGATTTCTGTGGCTCCCTGAAAGAGCGAGTATAGTGCATTTTCTGGGGAGTGTGGGGGCTTTCCAAGGGTCTGTGACCCAGGAAAGCAGAGTTCTTTTTTATTTTTTTAATGCAGTTACTACAGGGTCTATAGGGTCTCACTACCCAGATCAGACTCGTAGTGATCCTCCTGTTTTCAGCCTCCCAGCGCGGGTATTAAAGGCACATGCCACAACTCCCAGTCTCAATTGCGTTTCAGTGCCCCCTGGGGATGGGGCTGGCACAGCACACCAGGACTGAACTAAGCAGGCACTTTAGTCCACTGAGCTATCTGGCTGGCCCTGGCAGAGTTGTTTTTGGGGAAAGAAAATAGGGCCAAGTCTCACAATGGCCAGAGAAGGGCCTGGGTTTTTGACAATCACCTGGGGGTTTTGCTGAAATTAATCTAGGTTGTTTTGTTTGTGTTTGTCCAGAGTCTCCCTAGGACACAGCCTTCCCCTGTCCGTTGTGTCCCATGCTGGCCTGTGGGGACTTAACAGTCGGGAGATAGCTTGTGTCCTGAGCCTTATGTGTAAAAGGGATAATGTCTTCTTCCTTGGTGACTGCGAGGGGTTACTGTGTAAAGCAAGGCACATAGCTCCATGTCTTCATTCCTTCTTTGCTTTGTGGCCTGGCCTATTGGTCACATAGGTTATATTCCCCTGTCAGAAGCTGGGCCAGGAGCTCAAACCAGAGAAACTGGGTGGCGGTGCTTAGGTGACTGACTACATTGTGCACCTGACAGGCTGCAGTACTTAACGATCAGAGGGGCCAAGATCTGGTCTGTCGGGGGTAGGGCCAATGTAAAGGGTACCAGGTGAGAGGTTTCAACTGGTGTTTTGTTTTTTTTTTTTTTTTTGTGGTACTGGGGATTGAACTCAGACCCTTGCGCTTGCCAGGGAAGCACTTATCTACTGAGCCATCTCCCAGGCCCCCAAAATCTCGTTTGTTTTTGCAGTACCAGGGATTGAACTCAGGACCTTGTGCTGGCCAGGCAGTCACTTATTCTACTGAGCTATCTCCCCAGTCCTCCATTGGTGTTTTTTGAGACGAGGTCTCACTATATATTTCATGGAGGCCTTGAAGTTGCATTGATCCTTCTGTTTTGGGCGCAATGGCTGGGATTACAGGCATCCCTCTACCTGGTGGGGTTCTGGATTTTGTCTCCATATTTGGGTTGGTGGACAAGCGTCAAAACAAAAAAACAAAACGTGCCAGGTGTGGTGGTGCACACCTTTTACTTCCAGCACTTGGGAGGCTGAGGCAGGATTGCTGAGCTCAAAGCCAGCCTGAACTACACAGTGAAATCGTGTCTCCAAAAACCAATCAAACAAAAAACCAGTGAACTCTCCATTTTACTTTCACCTTTGGCACTAGGATTGTGGTGGGACCTGTGGTGGTCTTAGGGCAACTCTTACTTGGATCCGTAGTGGGATTAAAGAAGGAAGCTCAAGTGAGCTAAGTGGCCCGTGGATTATTAATCTAGAAGCAGGGAGCCACCATTACTACTGAATGGGTGGTGAGGCCAATTTGGCGCGTAAATGTTTCAAAATCTGCCTTGGTCCTTCCAGGGTGGAGATAAGCGGTCATTTCAAAGGCACACAGTAGGGTCCTGAGCCTTGTTAAGATTTTTATTTAGAATCAAGGTAAGAAGTGCGATGCTCGGGTAAGAGCATCTGACTCCAAGGCTACATATTTTTAATCCACCGCCCAAACACCACGGGGTCCGGGCAGGGCAGTGAGCAGCCAGTGCGCTCTTCTAGGGCCCGACCTTGATCTTTTCCCACCACCTTGCTCCCGAGGGTGTTCCGGACGTGGGTCTGGTGTCCTGGGTCCGTCTTAGACCAGTGAGGATCGATGAGGTGGTCCAGGGTGGTCCCACATCCCGTCCGAGAAGCGACCGTCAAGTCCTGCGAGGCCACGACACGCCAGATGAACAAATCGGTCAGATTACGAATTTCTGTCGGAAGCTGAGACAGAACCTTCGGTGGGAGCAGGTGTGGGCGGAGCCAAAGGGCACTCGGCCTTGTTGATTGGCCGCGGCTGCAGAGCTGGCTCTCTAGGATTGTGCCTTTTCCCTTAGAGAGGCGGTGCCTTAAGACCTTTTCACCAATAGGATGCAGAGAATGAGCCTCAAACCCGGGCACTTCCGGCGAGGCTCCCTGCTCGGGGCAGCCACGGCCGCGCTCTGGATACCCGGCCGCGGTGTATCAGGATCACTTCCGGGTGGTGCTTCGCGGCCGAGAGCCGCGATTAGCTAGCCGTAGGGACACTTCCGGTGTCCAGGTACTGGTTCATTCGGCAGGAAGAGAAAGATGGGTCCCTACCCCGTGGCCCATGCTCTGTCCCTCTTATGGCTGCTGCTGCCCTTGCTTGGCGCAGTCTACGCCAGCGGCCCCCGCACGCTGGTGCTGCTGGACAACCTCAACCTGCGGGAGACGCACTCGCTTTTCTTCCGAAGCCTGAAGGGTGAGAGCGGGGTCAGAGGGGAAGGTGGGCGAGGACTGCGGGTGGAAAGGCGCCCAGGGCATCATCCTCTCCCGCTCGGCTTCCTAGCGCTGGCCGCCCAGACGTGGCCAACGCCCGCGTGCGGCGCGAGTCTGCCTCAGCTCTGTTTTCTTTGCGTGCAGACCGGCGCTTCGAGCTCACATTCAAGACCGCTGATGATCCCAGCCTGTCTCTCATTAAGTACGGGGAGTTCCTCTATGATAATCTCATCATCTTCTCACCCTCCGTAGAAGGTAAGGACTTCGCGATCCCCCAACACCGGGAGTCGAGACCCAGGCCAGATGCATAGCTTTTATCTGGTTCTCGGGCGTGTTCAGGGACGTGGCCGCTGTCAAAGGAGAGGAAATGGTTTATTTCTAACTGGGGTTCAGGAGGGGACCATTTTCTAAAAGATGCTGCTAGAATCGTGGGGTCACCTGTTGCCTTGGACCATGGAACTCGGGGCGCTGTAGCTCCTTCTACCGAGAAAGGGGTTTTTGCTGCAAAAGGCCTGATAGACAAAGAGCTCTCAGTAGGGTTTGCCTGTGTGGAAAGAGGAATTGGTATGTTATTAGTGTGGATTACTGCAAAAAGGTGTTGTTTAGTGTAGTAGTTGATCGTAAGAATTCAGATGGATACATAGTCTCTGCTGAAAAAAAAAAAAAAAACACCTTAGCAATTAACACTCTCCCCTTTTGAGGTTGGATGATTGTTAAATACAGAGAATATCTTCACGGTATTATCTAATGTGTACTTCAGTATTACTACCTTCAGAGACATTCAACTCCACCAGTGGACAGTTCTGTTGTTATTAAAGTGAATCATTTCTCCTTCATACTTTATTTTGGAGGGTGATATTCTTACACTTCCCAGTGCCTTAGAGAATAAGTCTGATGTTTATCCTCCTGGGATCATTGCCTTTGTAAGAGTCATATTTGACTCAGTCGGGCTTTTTCTCTTTCCTTTCTTTGTATTGGGATTGAACGCAGGGCCTTTGCACTGCCCTACAACCTCAGCCCTTTTAAAATTTTGAAACAGAGTCTTAGTAAGTCATTAGGTCACCCAGGCTTGGCTCCAATCTGGAATCCTTGTGGCTGAGCTTGCAGGGTGCTGGGATGACAGGTATCTACCATTGCTCCTGGCTGGAGTGTTTCTTCTCCCAAGTAAATATCCCCAGTCCCTCTGGTTATTTCTATCTGTTGTCATGGGGTTTTTTTGGGTGTATGTGCCAGTCATTCTCTTACTGCTTCAGAGTATCCTTTTCTCCTAGAACTCAAGTTGTCCTTGTCTGGGAAGATGACCCTGCCAGTCTCTCCCTCTAGTTGATAAAGCTTGGGAAGCTTCTTTGTTGCCAGCTGCTATGTTTTCTGTACCTCTAGTGAGCTGAGTTCTGCCAGAGCCCTTAAGTGTTTTTCTCCAAGCACCTGTCAATTTTCTTAACTCCCCAGCACCATGTCCCTTTGGAGTTGATTTTTGGAGGCAAAAGCAGTTGAGCCAGTGTGACCCCAGACTGAACAAGTCAAAATCTTTCAATGCCTGGGGAGGTGGAGCTTTCTGCAGAGTGATTATAATCTGTTGTTTTGGGGGCTGTGGAATAGCACGGTCCAGTGCATGGGGTGACACGGTAAGGAAGCGCCTGCCTTTGAGGAGTGCTTTCACTGTGTCCTTGAGGAGGCGGAAATAGAAGACTGACCCTGTGTTACCTCGAGTTGCGAGTTGCGGGGATGCAGGAGGGCGCGGAGGAACCATCTAACGTGTGCTTCTGGAGATAGACTGGGAAGGAAAGAGTGGATTGGGCAGAGTGGGAGGAGGTCGGGAGAGGGTGCTGCTGCCACGAGAAAGGTGGGGGGGGGGGCTAACACAGGATTTCCCATATTAGAAGTTAGTCATTTGCACACCTCATTCAGAATGTGATTTCTACCACATTCTGTATCACCTATGCTAATAATTTTTAGTAATAATCTTTAAATTAACCTTGCCTAAAGAAAGCTAAAATAATTTTTCTGTTGTTGTTTTTGAGACAGGGTCTCATTATATAGTTTAGGCTGCCTTGAGCTCACTGTGTAGCACAGGCTGGTGATCCTCCTGCCTCAGCCTTCTAAGTGGTGGGACTACAGGTGTGCACCACCATCTCAGCTTACACCAATATTTTAAAAGAGATTTAATAATGTATTATCACCACTTTTTGAAAATGGGAAGGCGTCATCACTTGATGTGGGTAGAAAATACTGTGACTGGGTGGAGCAAAAGCAGTGCTGTTGAGTTGTAGCCAGGAACTATGGGCTACTGAAGAGCTGGGCCTGAGGTTCCTTCTTCCAGCTGGATGTTCGCAGGTGTAAA